CCTCTGATCTACATCCATCCATCAGTAGCTTTTAGCAAGTGCCAAAGCCAATGGATCATAATGACAGTCAGGGAACTGGCATTTTCAGTGAGAGACATCAGCAGTTGAAGCCCCCTAAATTCTCAGGTTTCCTTTAACCCTTTTGCTGCCAGTAATTTTTGCATGTTTTTGCACATGTTTAAAAAAATCATTTTAGGCCTGAAGATTGCATAGAACCCCCAAACATTATACAGTGGGGAAAAGAAGTATTGAACACGTCACCATTTTTCTCAGTAAATATATTTCTAAAGGTGCTATTGACATGAAGTTTTCACCACGTTGGTTACAACCCATGCAATCCATACATACAAAGAAACCAAAGCAAATAAGTTCAGAAAATAAGCTATGCGTAATAAAAATGGAATGACACAGGGAAAAAAGTATTGAACACGCTAACTGAAATGTATTTAATACTTCATACAAAACCCTTTGGTGGTAATGACAGCTTCAAGATGCCTCCTGTATGGAGAAACTAGTCGCATGCATTGCTCAGGTGTGATTTTAGCCCATTCTTACACACAAAACAGTCTTCAAATCTTGGAGGTTCAGTCGGCCTCTTCTATGAACTCTGATCTTTAGTTCTTTCCATAGGTTTTCAATTGGATTAAATCAGGTGATTGGCTGGACTATTCTAGCAGTTTTATTTTCTTTCTTTGAAGTCAATTGAGTTTTTCCTTGGCTTTGTGTTTGGGATCATTATCTTGCTGAAATACCCACCCTTGTTTCATCTTCATCATCCTGGTAGATGGCAGCAGATTTTGCCAAGAATGTCTTGGTACATTTTTCCATTCATCCTTCCTGCAGTAATATAACGTTTGCCAGTGCCGTATGCTTGTCACTGTTGGGATGGTGTTTTTGGGGTGATGTGCAGTGCCATTTGACCTTGGTGTGAATTATGGCAAAGAGTTCAATTTTGGTCTCATCTAACCAAACTATATTCTCCCAATATGTCACAGGCTTGTCTAAATGTTGTTTTTTTTGACAGCAATGGAGTCTTGTGTGGTAAGCGTGCATACAGGTCATGGCGGCTGAGTGTATTATTTATTGTTTTCTTTGAAACAACTGTACCTGCTATTTCCAGGTCTTTCTAAAGCTCTCCACAGGGTGGTCCTTGGCTCTTAGACAACTCTTCTGATAATTCTTTTCACTCCTCTGTCAGAAATCTTGTGAGGAGCACCTGGTCGTATCCGGTTTATGGTGAAATAATGTTATTTCCACTTCTGGATTATGGCCCCAACAGTGCTCACTGGAACATTCAGAAGTTTAGAAATCCTTTAGTAACCAATGCCATCAGTATGTTTTGCAACAATAAGGTTGTGAAGGTCTTGAGAGATGTTTCTTGTGTGACTCCTTGGTACTGGGACACCTTTTAATAGGTGATCTGCGGAGACTGAACCAGCTGATATTAATTTAACAGTTTAGGGAGTGCAAAGTATTGGTAAAAAAAAAAAAACACTTACGTTAATTTTAGGGCATACAAATGTAATAAATTACTCATTTTGTTTGTAAAACTGAAAAGATGAGGTTGCGCTGGGTATATAGATACTTAACATGTCAAACCTTAAAATTGCATGCACCTGTGAAATGGCGGCAAACTTCAATACCCTATATTATGCACAGACAACACTTTAAAGGTTCCTACATGTCGCCAGTTTAGTTACCCAGGAGCCCTGGTGCTAGAATTGTTGTTTTCATGCATAGTTGTCCCTGAATTGTGCATTTATGTTCGTACATACATGTATGTGGGGGTCTCAAATATTTTTTTGGACGGGAAAATTTTAAGTGCTTTGGTGCTTACTGTCTATGCATGATGGTAAAAAACCTTCTGTGTGCAGCATCCCCCCAGCCCCCCTAATACTTACCTGAGCCCCATCACGATCCAGCGATCTGCATGAGAGCCTTAGCTCTCCAGGGACTCTCCCTCCTCATTGGCTGAGACAGTCAATCACAGCCAGTGAGCCAATGGGGAGGGGGGCGGGGACGGTGTGAATGGACACGCAGAGCAGCAGCTGTGGGGGCACTTGGCAAAAAGGAGGAGCGAGGAGCGCTGGTGGGGGAACTTAGAAAAAGAGGATCAGGGTTGCTCTGTGCAAAACCACTGCACACAGCAGGTAAGTATAACATGTTTGTTATGGTTTAAAAAAATCCTTTTAATATCACTTTTTTTTTTTTTTACTTCAAGTATATATAAACCCTCACATTGTAAAACAACCCATTCCGTTTACAATAGAAATAAAATGCATTTGTCTATAGCTATAAAAACATTATAAATACCTTCCCCCCCCCCCATGTTTTATAAGTGATCAAATTCCCTCTATGCTCCTTATGTAACTGAGAACAGAGAGATGGGGAGGAGAAACAGCAAAACACTGGTCTTCCCAGTGAATGGCTATGCAGTAGGGGGTGGTGTCAGAACAAGTCTGATCATTGGAGGAGAGCACACAGTGTTCTCAGCACAGCTAGGGAGCTAACCATGCTGCACTCTCATGCCTAGTGTGGTCAGTTTTTTAATAGAAAATCAGAGAGACTGGCAGGAACACCAGGAATTTCACACAAAGGAAGCAATACAAAGAGAACAGGATACTTTTTCAATATGAAATGCTGGGTTTACAAATTCTTTAACATTTTTTTTCTCACATAGAGAAGAAGTAATGAATTACAATTCAAGGAAGTCCAGTTGCTAAAATTTGCTTCCAGACGAAGTCCATATTTCTCTTTTCAAGTAAAAGAAAAAAAGAACCACCTTACATAAGGTGTCCCCCTCGGGGTACCTCTTAGTTCAGTTACTCCCATTAGAGTACCCCCCTTAAATCAGGTGTCACCATACATGAGGTTCCCCCACCAGTGTTCCTTCACATCAGGTGTCCCCATACATCAGATTCCCCCATAAGAGTCTATCTATAGATCAGTAAATTCCATCAGAGCCAGGTGGGAGGCGGGAGCTGGAAGAAGAAGCGTGCTACAGGGGGCGGGGCACACACGTGAAATCATTGGTTGGTATAATGCCGGCAATCCTAACAACCAATGACTGCAGCTTAGTAAGGATCCAGCAGAGCAGAATGGTGGGCTTTTGGTTCAGACTGGGCTTCCAGGCGGTCCGCCATTTAGTGAAGGCTGACATAAGGGGGAAAAAGTCCCCTATTTTTTGGTGACAGGTTCTCGGAGTCTGAGACATGGCAGGGATGAGCATGGGGGGGGGGATGTGTGCAGAGCCGCCCAAGCGCTTCTATCTGTCAGCTGGCAGTCGGGTTCTCAGATATGCACACTGGCTGCAGCCACAATTATTATTATTATACAGGATTTATAAAGCGCCAACAGTTTGCTCAGTGCTGTACATTATAACGGGAGACAATACAGTTCAATACAAGAGAGATAGGAGGGCCCTGCTCCTTGGAGCTTACAATCTAGGAGAGTGTGTGTACAACCCCTCCACTGTCAGGTCCATACAACATACAGATCTGGCAGTACACGGGGTTAAAGCACTGATCCAATGAGAAGGTGTGCACAGTGCAATGTCTGGGAGGAAATACAGGAACATTTATTATACTTCAATGAGTTGTGGCTGGCTCACGTCTACAAAACAATAGGAGTTTGGGTTGGAGATGAGTACAGAAGACACTCCAAATTCATCTCTAACCTGGAGATTCCCCCTGAAGGACTTTTTCTACCACTAGATGTCCTCATTCTGAAAACCAGCATCATTTAACCCGCTTCCTCTGAGCCCAAGTCATGCTGGACCCACCCCCCAGCCTGTGACTGGATCATGAAAGCAGAAGCAGCACAGTGATGAGCTCATCTCTCTACCACTCCTGTGAGTCTGAGCTCTGCTGTACAGGGGCCGATATCAAGTGACATTCAGGTACTTACTGTGCTTGTATTTACAAAGTATGTTTAATCGCTTCCCTACCGCCCTATAGTAGAACTACTGCTAGAGGGCGGCACGACTGCACAAAATCACATATACATGTGGTTTGCATTTCCGGGTAGGGGGAGCGTGCCGCCCTACCCACGCCGCCGATGGTGGCTACAGCTGTCAATCGCTGTGTCCCGGCCGCAGATTCCCTGCTGGTACCCGACGATTGCTGAGTAACACTGACAGGGGAGAGACCTGTGTGTAAACAACACAAGTCTCTCTTGTAAAAGCAAGCACATGCTACTGTGTATTTCTCTGCACAGCAGTGTGTTTCCCTAGTAAAACACACACAGCACATGATGTAAAACACACACAGTTGACCCTTTGATGGCCCCAGATGTTAACCTCTTCCTGCCCAGTGTCATTAGTACCGTGTCAGTGCTTTTATTAGCACTGATCACTATATTAGTGTCACTGGGGATGTGAGTGGCAGTTAGTCAGTTCCCACCCAGTGTCAGAATGCCGCCCGCAGTCCCGCTATAAGTCACTGATCACCGCCATTACTAGTAATAAAAACAAAAATATAACAACAATTCCAGTATATATACCGCCATTAGTAAATGCTATAACTTTCACATAAACCAAATAATTTACACATATTGGGATTTTTTTTAGCAAAGACATGTAGCAGAATACATTTCTGATGAAATTTGATTTTTTTTTAATTTTTTACTGGATATGTTTAACCTCCCTAGCGGTCTGATTATTTCAGATTTTTGGTGCTGAAAGCGGTACCATTATTTTGCATGGAAATCTGTAGTTTCTTTATTGTAGGCTGTAATTTTTAGTAATAAGTCACTGAAATCTGTCCGAACAAGAGTCTATTAAACATCCCGGGAATGATAAAATTTGAAACACGAAATCATAAATTATAATTTAATAAATAATCATAAAAAATAATATAATAATAATACATTTAATTCAATAATATAATCAAACCAAAAACACTGAAATTTGAAATATAGCGCCAAGTTTGCACATTGCTGAGCAAAGTCGCAAAATCGTTTTCAGTGTCTGATGACGAATTTCCCCATGAATCATTATCACTCAATTCTGCAAGTGGTTCTGATTTACTATCGCTGTTCTCTAGCTGATCTAAACTTTTGATCTTTTGAGCTAAAGGGACACTTTTTGGACGCCATGGACTTTTCTCAGTTTCAGGCAGAAAGCAGGCAAATGCAGGCAGGGCACAGGGCAAAGCACTCGGGACAAAATGTATGTGAAATGTTTGATACAGCAATGTTTTACTATGTAAAATTTGTTTGGAAAAAAATGAAATTTTTTTAAATTTTCAAATTTCCCGCCGCCGCCCGTACGTCCCGACGTCACAGGGACCGGAACACAGAAGCCGGATGCCGGCATCGGCCGGAGGAGATGGCCGGGACGCTGCAGGGGACGCATCACGGGAGCAAAGGACAAGGTAAGTGCTGCAGGCACTCCCTATGCAGCGCTGCATGGTAAGCCCGAGTGTAGCTCGGGGTTACCGCTTTTGGTACAGAAACTTTACCCCGAGCTGCACTCGGGAATACCGCCAGGGAGGTTAATAGCCAAAAGTCCAAAATATTGGGGATTTTTTTCAAAATTGTCAGTCTTTTTTTGTTTATAGCACAAAAAATAAAAAACACACAGACAATAAAATACCTCCGAAAGAAAGCTCTATTTGTGGGGGAAAAAGGGCATAAACTTAATTTGGGTGCAGCGTTGCACGACCACGCAATTGTCAATTAAAGTAACGCAGTGCCGTAACACAAAAAATGGCCTGATCAGGAAGGGGGGGATCCTCTGGAGGACAAGTGGTTAATGATCACAGAAGTGCACTCATCTCTCATACATCCCCTTGGAGCTCAGCTTTAAGAACAGGACATTCAGATGAGTCGTAGCTAAAATCTGATTGGCTGATATGATTCACCATGAAAAATAGCATTTTAAATAAACCCAACTCAGTGCTGACAGTTTCTCTTGAGTGTCTCCGCCTTGCCTGTCTATTACTTTCTGCCTACCAGTCACAGCCAACCCAGTTCTACTCCCCTCCAGCCCGGGCTGACCTTGCCTCTGCCTCCCCGGCATGGAACCCCACCACGAGCCGCTCAGCGCTGACAGCAGAAAACCGGAAACAGCGTGCGTTCCAGCGCCAGCCTCCACCAATCAACGAGCGAGCCCGGAAACATTGTGTGCGTTCCAGTAGCAGATTGCTCCAATCGCAGTGCGAAAGAACGAAACCCGGAAATGCACAGTGCGTTCCAATAGCAATTTCCACCAACCACACCGCGGCCTCTGCCAATCAAAAATTAAAGCGTGCATTTCCACCAGAGTTCTCCACCAATCACGGGCGGGTTTTAAGGCTACTGATCCGATCACTGCGCGACTATCTAACTATTGCACCAGCAGCGTCTCCTGTATTTTCTCCGCACCAATCAGATTCTAAGCTGATTTTCAAGTATGAGTTGGAGGTCAGCAGCAGAGTTGCATGCTGTGATCATGAGTTTGTATGGTGGTGAGCTGTGTCTCTACCCTTTCCCCAGATCCTGCACATGAAGTAAGAGCAGGCACTGCTACCCCTGGAGGGTCAGAGACTGATAATCAATGACATGATGTAATATAAATACCGTGCAGGCTATTATTAAAGTAGATGTACACCCAATCACTTCAAGTGGTAGTAAACCACCAAAAAAAATAAAAAAAAAAATCTCACTGCAAGTTAAGAACATAATGTGCTTGTATCCATCACTTCCTTCTTCACCTGATCTTCCTTCCAAGTTTGCGAGCTGCTGCCATCTGATTGGACGAGCCGCGATGTCGTCACTTCTGAGCATGTGCGAAGGGTGTTTCGGCCACGGCACAGGTCTCTCAATGGACGGCACACCGTGTGTTGAGAGTGCAGTGCGCATGTAACTGGCATCTCTACAGTATCTCCTAAACAGTTCGCAATTAGGAGCTATTTACAGGACCTACTTGTAAGCCTTATTAACCGCTTACCTTCGGCCCTATAAGTACTGCTACAGGGCCACGACTCGTCATTCCTTTGTAGCACAGAAACATAAGATGAAGAACAAGTGGTTCATCAAGTCTGCCCCTTCTACTTCTTTGAGTATAGATCGATGTTTGTCCCAAGCAACTGTTGACTGATTCACTACCTCTGCTGGAAGGCTCTTCCAAGTATCAACTACTCTTTCAGCAACATAATTCTTTCTAAGGTTAGCTTTGACCTTTCCTCCTGCTAGTTTGAGGCCATATCCCTGTGTTCTTGGTCTTTGCTTCATATTGAAAATATTGCCCTCCTGATCCTTAATCACATCTTTTTAATAAAGCTCCCCCTTTCCTTCTATCCACAAGACTGCACATATGAAGGATACAGGACCTCCTGGTAGAATTCTATTGACTTTTCCAATAATCTGAAATAAGCACCCTGAAATCTTTTCTTCTATAGTTCTAGCTAACACTGTACCCCCAATAATCAGAGGATTCTCTTTCCCTTAGTACATTATTTGCATTTAGAAACCTTGAACTGCAGTTCTCACTGCTTTGACCAATACCACAGTGTAGCCTTGATAGGAGGACCCTTATAAATCATGGAAGCTGCACAGGTTGGGCATTGTGAAAATGCTGCACTTTGTTCCTCTTTCCTTCTAGTGACTGGCAGCACAGTTGGGAAAGAGAAAAGATTGGCTGAGTCAGTGACCCAGAACAAAGCTTCATTCCTGAGCACAAGAGAGGAAAACCTGAGTAGTTTCATCTTGGTGATCCTGCCAGTAACAAACTTCCTGTCCTAGAGTGACAACACTCATTGTATCATATCTATTGTGGAGCAGAGTTGTCACCCTAGGACAGGAAGTGTGTTACTGGCAGGATCACCAAGATTAAACTATTCAGGTTTTCCTCTCTTGTGCTCAGGAATGAAGATTAGTTCTTCTGATATGGACTAGAGAACAAATAATAAATGGACATACCCAAAAACATGCCGGAATTGACTTGGCAATTCTAGAATTTGGTTGCCAGATCATTATCAGAATTAGCCCTGGTTCACACAAGTGGAGCACTGAAATCTCGCAACTTCAAAGCTGACTATTTTGTGTGACTTCGTTGTGCCTTGCTGACACTAAGTGCAACTTCATTTAACAGATGTCAATGCAAGCTGCAATGAAGCCACAATGAAATAGTGAAGGAACCTTTTTCAAAATCGCTGTGACGTGATTCGCATCGATTTGAACAGTTCCATTGCTGCTAATGGAGTGCGAATTGTCAAGTGACTTTGGACTCTCAAGTCACATGACAAGTGTTCACTGGTGTGAACTGGGGCTTGGTGCAAACTCTGGTATAGGTGGTCTGCATGGGTTATAAACATGATGTGGCGGGGTGATGGTGACAGCCACAGTGAGAGAAATAGATATGGTCCCATGTAAGCACTCATTCACTGCAATGTGTAACCATCACACCACCTCCTGATACTGTTGCCACATGGGACCTCGTGATACTGTCATGTGACAATGTCAGGCCTTTCCTGGTTGGCTTCATCATCATGGTGTGTCATTAGTTACTATGCATAGTGTTTAGAGAGAAAAAACTGTGTCTGCTGGAAGGAAGAGGGATGACGTTGTATCCTGTGCAAGAACACAGCTGAAGAAGTGATGCTTCAGCGAGGGCGGGGGTCACAACTGAGAATGGAGGAAGGGGGATGCAAAGGTAACAACTGTGAATAGAGGAAGTTGGATGCAAAGGTGACAACTGTGAACGGGGGGGGGGGGGGGGGAATGCAAAGGTGACAACAGAGGAAGAGGGATGCTGAGGTGACAACAGAGAAAGGAGGAAAGGGGATGCAATGGTGACAACTGTGAATGTAGGAAGTCAGATGCAAAGGTGGTAACTGTGAATGGAGGAAAGGGGATGCAAAGGTGACAACTGTGAATAGAGGAAGTGGGATGCAAAGGTGACAACTGTGATTGGAGGAAGGGGCATGCTGAGGTGACAACTGTGAATGGAGGAAGGGGGATGCTGAGGTGACACCTGTGAATGCAGGAAGGGGGATGCAAAGGTGACAACTGTGAAAGGAGGATGCAGAGGTGACAACTGTGAATGGAGGGAGGAGGATGTAGAGGTGACAACTGTGAATGGAGGAAGGGGGATGCAAAGGTGACAACTGTGAATAGAAGAAGGGGGATGCTGAGGTGACACCTGTGGATGCAGGAAGGGGGATGCAAAGGTGACAACTGTGAAAGGAGGATGCAGAGGTGACAACTGTGAATGGAGGGAGGAGGATGTAGAGGTGACAACTGTGAATGGAGGAAGGGGGATGCAAAAGGTGACAACTGTGAATAGAAGAAGGGGGATGCTGAGGTGACACCTGTGGATGCAGGAAGGGGGATGCAAAGGTGACAACTGTGAAAGGAGGATGCAGAGGTGACAACTGTGAATGGAGGAAGGAGGATGCAGAGGTGACAACTGTGCATGGAGGAAGGGGGATGCTGAGGTGACAACTGTGAATGGAGGAAGGGGGATGCTGAGGTGACAACTGTGAATGCAGGAAGGGGGATGCAAAGGTGACAACTGTGAATGCAGGAAGGGGGATGCAAAGCTGACAACTGTGAATGGAGGAAGGAGGATGCAGAGGTGACAACTGTGCATGGAGGAAGGGGGATGCTGAGGTGACAACTGTGAATGGAGGAAGGGGGATGCTGAGGTGACAACTGTGAATGCAGGAAGGGGGATGCAAAGGTGACAACTGTGAATGCAGGAAGGGGGATGCAAAGCTGACAACTGTGAAAGGAGGATGCAGAGGTGACAACTGTGAATGGAGGAAGGAGGATGCAGAGGTGACAACTGTGAATGGGGGATGCAAAGGTGACAACTGTGAATAGAAGAAGGGGGAGGCTAAGGTGACAACTGTGAATAGAGGAAAGGAGATGCTGAGGTGACACCTGTGACCAGAGGAAGGGGGATGCAAAGGTGACAACTGTGAATGGAGGAAGGGGGATGCAGCAGTGACAACTGTGGATGGAAGAAGGGGGTGTAGAGGTGAATACCAAATTCCTGTACTACGTTTGTTATCTACCCTGGACCCTCCTGCACTGTACATTATTATTATTATACAGGATTTATATAGCACCAACAGTTTGCGCAGCACTTTACAATATAAAGGAGACAGTACAATTACAATACATTTCAGTACAGAAGGAATAAGGGGTCCCTGCTTGTGGAGCTTACAATCTAAAAGGGTACATGTACATTACCCACATCAGCTATTATGAATTAGAGAATTATGATTTTCAATACAGTAGTCCCAGGTATGTATATGGGGCAGTCAGGGGCGGACTGACCATTCCAAAACTCGGGCACTGCCCGAGTCTCCGGGGTCAGTAAGGGGCCCCATGATATGTCCTTGTTACCCTACATAGGCTTTTTTAGGT